AGGAATAATTCTTATTTTTTTGAGGGGGAAAAAGCTTGGGAAGTGGTAGTAAGAATCTTTGCACTACCTGACAGGTCTTTGGTCTCATGGCAAGCAAAACCATAATGCTCACTGTAATTATTCTCTTATAAGATGGTGAAGGGACAACTTGTGCCAGTTTTGCAGGAGATGGTCTTTGTTTTGGTCTTCACCAAGAAGTCTGATGAAGGAATGCCTAACATAGTGAATGCTAGTGGGAAGGGGGTAGGTTTAGAAGATAAAATAAAAAAAGAACAAGTTAAAAATTACTTAGAAAAGTTAGATGTCTGACAGTCACCAGGACCTGATGAAATGCATCCTAGGATACTCAAGGAACTGATAAAGGAGGAAACTGAGCCTTTAGCTATCATCTTTCAAAAATCACGGAGGATGGGAGAGATTCTAGAAGACTGGAAAAGGTGTACCGGTAGTTCGGAATAGGAAGCCTAGTCCGAACTACCTAGTTTGAGCCCCGTGTAGCCGCGCTGCATGGGGTTCGAACCAGCGGGGTTTTAAAAATGGTGGCTCCCCGCTTATGCAAATGAAGCCCGGGAAATTCAAATCCCGGGCTTCATTTGCAAGTGCGGTATGCCTGCATTACCCTCCTAGTTCGAACTAGGAGGGTAGTGTAGACATACCCCCAGAGATGGTCTAGACAGTACTGGGTCCTGCCATGAGGGCAGGGGACTGGATTTGATGACCTCTTGTGGTCCCTTCCAGTTCTAGTGTTCTATGATTCTGTGATACATTTACATCTTCCAAACATCATTTAGTTACCATAGAGCCAAAAATATGTTTAGTCTCAAGTCTTGCTTAGTCCTCCTTTGTTTCTGATCTTAAATCACAGCTTTCTAGGTGAAGAGTGGACAATTTTATACGAGAACTCATCCTTATGATGTGTGGTTGCCTGAGGGAGAAGCAGAGTAATACACACTCCATAAACACTGCTAGATTAATGAAAGTTTTTGCAACAAGATGCCAACACTGCCATGAATTTGTTGGTTCTAGTTTTGCCAAGGGTGCAGTTTCTATTAAACCTTTAATTAAATGTATTTAAGAAATATCAAAGCATGGATGCCATTCACTAATTATCCTGCACATTCTGTAGCATTTACTTTGATTGAACGCATCTATTTCATTAAATAGTCCAAGTGTAATTAAATATTTTATGGCAATGCTTAAATATACATATGGCAATGTCTTAATTTGAGCTCTTCTTACTATGAGTTATGCACTGAAATAATCTGTTTCTGCAAGAGCTATGCTTTGGAAGCCGCATTAAGAAAAAGTCTTTGCTCTTCCTTCCCTTCTTATGATGAGTTTATTTACAGAGTGAAGGAAAAGCAGATGTTGATCTTTTCCAGCAAGCAGAAGAGTGCATTGTATAACTCCTTTAGGAGGGAAGAGGTGATAACACTGAAACCAGGGGGCAGGAAATGCTGCTGTTACATGCAAACATTTGTGAGGAACTGCTGGTCAAGAGACAGAGTATATTTCACAAGGTCTGGGCTGTGTTTGGGGGAGTTACAAAAAGGACAAAATTTGTGCCATCTTCTGATCTGAATTTAGACCCCCAAAAGAAAAATATTTATTAGCACTTAGCATGAGGACAATAGACTTTGAAATGTAGGTGTATTAAATAGTTTGAGGAATAGGTCATCTGATGTGTTTATTTATTCGACAGTGAGTTACACACAACCTGTCACAGATGTGCTGGGAAAAATCGGAGTTGGTCATGAACTCAGAAAGTATCATGTGGTATAATGGAAAACTTCTATAACGTGACATTTCCTTTCTCTAGAATTATTCCAGAGAAGCCAGTGACCTCTGCCCCATTGTCTGAACTTTTGTTCTCCCTCTCCAGTGGCACAATTTAAAAGTGAAGCCTGAACCTCAGTTCTGAATGGCTCAGCTTTTCTCAGTTGGTCATATGTCCTCAACAGGGAAGGGAACGTCAGTAAGGTTTTGAGGTCACACTCTGTGCAAATAGGCAACTTGGATAAGAATTTATAACAAATCTCCAAGCAATGGTCCTCTCTTTATGCTCTAAGGACAATGAGGGTCGTGGAACACTAAAAAGATACCTGGCCATCTGTAAGACTGGATGATATGCATCTGCTTTTAGTGCTGTTTGCCGGGCCACTTTAGTCCAATTGTGTCATATTTTTCCCTGCGATCCAAAAACTTGGGAATGTTGGTTATGGGGGTATAGTTCCAGATTCCCTGCTGTTACAAATGGGCATAGCTCAGTTGACTTCCACTGAGGGATCCAAGCCAATTTGTACCAAAGGATCTGGCCTAAAATGTGAAAATGTGAAAATAAACTACCGATTGCTGAATTAGTACTGTGTGTGTCCAGCTGATGAGAGGATACACGTTGAATAGTATTCAGCGTTAGTTCGGCTATCTCTGATGTTTGGAATCCTGTGCTGTATTCCACATCTGAGCTTCTGCAGTGTCATTGGAAGTGCATTGTCTGATGTGCTTGGTTTATTTTTCTAGGAACTGGTATATAGATGAGCCTTCCTGTGGGAGTGAGATCTGCGTGGTGATGTACCATCAGCCCTCTGCCCCAGCAGGGGTTGGAGGTTCCTATATGTTTCAGTGGAATGATGACAGATGCAACATGAAAAATAACTTCATTTGCAAATATTCTCTTGGTAATGAGTTACTCTGTATCATGTAAAAATGATTGTACTCAAACCCTACGGGGTTTATTGCTTGTAAGGTGCATCACTTGTGGCTAGTTAGAGGCATGGATCACCTGTGCTGGGAAACAATTGATAGAAGTAAGGATGTAAAAGCCTATTTAAAATGTTAACCAGTTAAAGTATATGTAGATGCCAACAGTTATCATGATAGCCAGAATATATGTCAGCCATTGCAGCAGTATCGGAATGTTTGTTTTGCTACACGACAGACCATTGGATGAAAAGTCACAAAAGAAATGGTTAAATTCTTTGGGGCCACAGTATGTTGCCTGCAGAATCATCACTTGTAGCATGAGGGTGTAGAAAATGCTGAATACCCAGCACCCTGGCACTATGGGGGCACACACCCTGTTGTTCATCAGAGTAGGGTAACGGAGGGGATGGGAGATTGCTAGATACTGATCATAACACATGGCTGTGAGCAGCATAAATTCTGCAGAAGAGAGGATTCTATAGAAATATAATTGCACAATGCAGTTCTGAAGAGAAATGGTCCTGTCTCCAGTCACAAGACTGCCCATCAGCCTGGGCAGGGTGGTGGAGACGTAGCTGATCTCCACAGCGGATAAGTTGGCCAGGCCCAGCCTGCTTTACCATGGGTTGTTTCGGCCACACTGAGCCAAGCCTGCCTTACGCTGCTGGTTGAGGGCTGCTCCTGGCAGGTTGGGCACTGGTTAACTGGCTACCCCAGTAAGCATGCTGATAAGGCAAATACCCAGGTAACCGGGTAACCCTTTCCATCCCTAGGTAGAAGGCAGATATGCATTTGAATGGATGAAAGTCCTGTGGACAGAAGGGACACTTCTCAGATTCTCATTGGTATTTAGGCTTTTAATTTCAACTGAATGCAATGGAAGTTAGGAACCTAATAGCTTTGCGGATCTGGGCCACTGTACCGAATGTCCCTGGCTAGGTACTAAGAAATGTCTAAACCGACTGGCTTGGAAGTTCTCCTGTTGAAAAGGTCTTTTTAAAAAGTTCAGCTCTGAAGTGGTTTCTTACGGGGTGGAAAGAGGATGCTATAGTGAGGGCCAGTGCCAGCTTCCTTTGCTATATTTATTTAACCTGGTTACCCAAATAAATTGCGTATGGAAATTTAGTATGTGCTTCTTCCTTTTAGAAACACCAACTGCTGCCTCAGAAGAGAAATCCCAAGTGGGTGAGTTACAGACATGTGTAATTTTTGGTAAATATATTCCCAGAGGATCTTTACATTTACCTTTAGTAATTAAAATTGACCAAAGATGTTGCCCTTCACTTAGTAGCTCCCTTCTGTAGAACTCAAACCCAATATCCTGCAGCTAGGTCAGTTATGGTATTGCTGCCAAATCTGGAGTCCACCATCATGCTATAGAGCCCCGAGTGAAAAAGAATAAGACCAAAACTTGCCTGTGTATCTGGCAGCATCCTAAGTCCATTGTCCTCATCTCATTTTTAATTACGCCCTGGAGTTCATTCAGTGTCTACCCACTCTCTGCAATATTAACCACTCGCTTTTCCCCCAGATGTTGTCACAGGATCTTTGAAGCCAACATTCCCAGAAGAACGCATTAAGGAAGATGCTAATGAAACCTTTAAAGAAACCAAAGGTACACAATATGTACAACAGCTACCATTATCCTCTGCAGCTGTGCATACCTGCAGCTCTGCTGATCTCCGTGTGGCTGCAGGTGCTCAGCTCCTCTGAATATTGAGCCTCTGAGGTTAGGCCTACACAGCAAAAGCATGTACAAACTAGCATACTTTTGCTAGCTTCAACCCAGTTAGTGTGGGCATAGAGCACAGGGTGAGCTTCGGCACAGGGTAATATGAGTCCATCATGGATCCTGGGTATGTACTTGGCACTGAAGCCCATGCTGCATTGTTGTCATTGCTGGGTTTTTTTGTACTAGCTACATTCAAACTCTCTCAGGTAGCCTAGCAGATGCTCAGCAGTTCTTGCTGTGTTGACAAACCCTGCTCTTGGTGTCCGTCCAAGGATTTAGAAGCCTAAATGTAGATAGCCACGTCTGGTAGTTTTGCCCTGAGTCTTTACAACTACAGAACTGAACAGGTTGTTTTGTCTGTCAAATTATTTAGACTAAAGCTGTTAGATGTGGAAACACAACCTTCAATTAATGGACTTGCATTTCAGTGATGCACATTTGAAATGTCAAAGACGTCAACTTGTTACCACACAGACTTCTTTCCTTGCCTTTATAGTTCACGTGCCTTTATCTACGTGAGGAAAGAAGTCTAATGAGGGTAGGGAGAAGGAATTGTACCTTTCAGTCATTACATAACTCCCACTCTGAAATCCTTATGATGGCTGTTGACAAGCCTTTCAAAAGACAACACATCTCATTAGCTTATTCCATTATTACTTTCACATGAGTAGAGAGAGTGAGAAAATGTTAAATAAACATTAGTAAAATAACAGTTTGGTTTAGATCCTGCCATTTCTCTCGTATATTTTCAGACCAAACCTACTGAAATACCGATCACATCCTCAACTTGAGATTTCTTATACAGGCCATGATTGGATACTGGACTAAAAGACCACCAGTTTGATCCATATGGGGAATTTTTATGCTCCACCATCCACAGAGGATGGGGAAATTATGGTTACTATATATAGAGCCCCAAACTAGGAGACTCAAGAGCAGCTTGGTCTGACTGGCTGAGCAAGAGGATTGTCCTTGAAGTGTTGACATTGAGGGTGGGTAACTGCAAATACATTCGAAATAGGAATGGGAAAAATTATTATTATTATTTGGTTGTACTGCCTTTCATAGGAATAGCCAGTGCATGCAAAATACATTTTAAATGGATTAAAGTTGAAATTTCATTTTTTTCCCTCCCAGAACCTGTTTTGAGTCTTGCCTACATCTTAATTCCCAGTATCCCGTTGCTCCTTCTCCTGATGCTCGTTACAGCCGTCTTCTGTTTTTGGCTTTTTGCAAAAAGGCAAGTGACATGACTGTGCAAAGAGTGAACCTTTATAGCTCATCAAGCTGAAGAGTCCTTTAGCTCCAGGATTAGCTAGTTTCAGAATTTTCAATTGTACCTTATAAAATGCACTGGAGAGAATTGGAGGGTATGGGTATGTCTACACTGCACGCTTATTTTGAAATAAGCTACTCCGGAATAGTTATTCTAAAATAGCTTATTTTGAAATAGCATGTCTACACTACAGGGAAGCCTCAAAATTAGTCCGAGGCAGGCTCCCCAATGTAGACGTGCTATCTCAATTTAGAGCTGTGGGCGGCACAGGGGTATAACTTAGAATGACCCTGGGGAGGGGCTATTTCGAAATAGCAGCAGTGGAGCGTCTATACGCACCTTATTTCAAAATAGCTATTTCAGAATAAGCGTTATTCCACGTGGAATGAGGTTTACAGAAGTCAGAATAAGCCAACTGTTATTTCAAAGTTATTTCAAAATAATGGAATGGCTGTGTAGACACATCATTATTTTGAAATAACACTAATTATCTCGAAATAACTGTGCAGTGTAGACACACCCTTTGTGTCCTGGCTAGTACATATGTAAAAAAGCAGTAAGTGTATGTTCAAGTGACAGACTTTATGTAGAGTAAGTTTTTAAATAAATCATATTATGCTATTTTATGCATTGTGATCAAAATCATACATTAATTGTGGAATAGCATAAAATAAGATGATTGATTTGAAGTGTTAGATTTATTAAAAGGGAAAAGAAGATTTAATGCAGAATTACAGATTGGGAACTCCCTTTCAAAAGTACCAAATAGTGTTAATGCAAATTTTCAAATATTATGTCCTTCTAGCCTTCTGTTTTCACAGATCTCCCCCTCATTTTCCCATACTTGCAAACAGTCTCACTCTACCGTCAACATTTGCTTACCTTTAAATCAAGATTAGGACTGTATTTAAATTAAAACATTTTAGAAAATTAGATTCAGGACTCCATAAAAAGACTCCCACTGTTTTCTCAGATGCATCCTTAAATGAGATGAGATCAGCTACTCTGGTACCAAAGTAATAATTAGTAACACAAGAGGTGTAATGTATGTAATAGTATAACTTTTACTATAATTGTATTGACTCAGCCTCTGCCCTCCAAGGGTATGTCTACACAGCAGCGTTATTTCAGAATAACAGACGTTATTCAGAAATAACGTAATGCACATCTACACAGCAGGCCTTTATTTTGAAATAATGTCATGCTGGAGGACTTCTTACTCTGACTCATGGTAACCCTCATTTCATGAGGAGTTAGGGATGTCAAAGGAAGAGTGTTCTTCCTTCGACTTCCTGCTGCGTAGACAGTGCCAAAAGCCAAATTAAGCTATTTTGACTTAAGCTACACAGAGATCAAACTTCTTTTTTAGCCCCAGAGATGATCTCTGCAAGTCAGGGTAGATGGAAGTTGTCAAGTTGCAAGTGGGGGTAAAGCATGCACTAGCATTGCCAGTGGTACAGCTGGAGTTCTGACGTTTCACCGGCGATAAATTCAATTCACCAAAAAAGACCCTTTTTCAAATCTCTGTCTGCTGATACAGTGAAATGATTCGGGTACTGGAGCAAAAGCAGAAGGAAGTTGGAGGAAGAGTGTGCTTACCAAACAATAATTGGGAGATTGGCCCAGGTATAAGGGTGGCATGAGAGAAGGAGCAAAATCAGGAGTGGGAAAAAGAGAGAGGAAGAAACAGTAGTTGGGATCGCTCCTATTATTCATGGCTCTTAAATTGCTCTGTAAACATGAATGAAGCTGCTGTTACACAATTCTGAGATCATTTAAACTCTCTAGTGGAGGAACTCGTTGCATTCAGGCCCATTGGCAGGTGAGACTGCTAGAGACTTCCTAAATTTTGTTGAGGATTGGGAGGATGAATAATCACAGCGCAAACGCTTCAGCACCGTGGCCAGCACCTAGCTGCTATAATCCCTATGGGTGCCAGCTAGGTTAGTATGCGGAGTAGTCCTCCTGCCTATTGCTGTGACAGGTGTGGATCCAGAACAGGGTACCATTCTGTGAGAGCTGGAAGCTGGAGATCACATTCTCTGCTACTCCCTTCATGTGAGGTCAGGACTGGTATATCACAGCAATGTGGCACAATAGTGAAATGGCATGGCATGACAATATCAGCAGTGTTGTTGCATTAATGCAGGGCTACTCGACGTGCGACCCACAGCCCATTTGTTTGTGGCCCGCTGTGCAGTTTGGGTTTACACGGGGTTCAACGTGCAGCCCACGGGTGGGAGCCAAAATGAAAACGTAATCAATAGAATGGTCTTCTGTTGCTATGCGTTTTAGTTAAATTCCTGGTTTGTCATTGCTCATTAAAAGTGTTGTCATATGGATGGAAATCAGTTAAATATTGCATTTTATTAATATCAGCAGAAATAACTTAAATGGGGCCTGCATGTTGTATAGTCTTGCCTTAATTTTGCTATTTCATGCCCATCGGTATGAAAGAAGCTATTTGCATATATTTGCATATATATTTGCATGTATATGTAACCACACTTAAGTTGCAACCCCCGGCATGTGCTGTGAGTATCACTGTGGCCCCCGGAGCTTCCAAAGTTGAGTAGCCCTGCATTAATGTGTCCAACTACAAATTATAATTAAAGTGCATATTCCTGAATCTAGGCTATTAATGGCCACTTTCCAGAAAAGCTGTCATTAGGTTTCTTGTTTGAAAGCTGCAATGTCAGACTCAGCTTCTGAAAAAGAACAGACCAGGAATTCAGTGTCTTTTCTTTCTCCTTTAAGGAGACGAGAGCAAATGGAGGCAAGTCCAAAGGTGCAGGATGCCTGGATCTCTCCACACAGGAGGAACAGTCCAAATTTTGAGATTTACAATGTAATTAAAAAACAGATGGAAACAGATCTGGCTGGGACAAGGCCAGAGATTAAGAATTCTTCATTCCGCACGTGTTCTGAAGATCACGCATCTGACAACCTCTCTGGAGATTATGACAATATGGCTGTGAAGACTTCAGAGAGTGGCTTTGTGACGTTAGCTAGTACTGAAAGTGGCTTTGTGACCAATGAGATCTATGAGCTGTGCAATGATCAGGTGGGACCAAGCAAGGAGTCTACCTGGGTGGAAAATGAAATTTATGGCTATTAAAGAAACTGGAAATGGATGTAGATGACACAGCAAATGAAAGCACCTGTAGCTTCCACACATCATATTGAACAGTGAACACAAAGATAATGTGTGTGGCAGTGCATTCTGGTTTCAGGTCACCCTTGTGCTTGTTCTTTTTAAAGGATATGTTATTTTAAACCGTTGAACACACGAGAATATATGCAGCTTGCCTTGCTTGCATGATAGGTCTTGGTCTTGGTTCTTTTTTCTATTGGAAGTACAATATTTCCAGAACGTCAGACTTCAAAATATTTCTACATCTTTTTAACTAACAGTAAGTCCAAGTCCCAAAATCTTTCTTTTTGTTAACTGACCTCATCTACCCAGACGTTTCAAGACATATGCTGGCCGTCCTTGGTTTCTCCTAGCTGCACCTGAGAATAGTGACAGATTGGTAATTTGTTTCCATCTCAAATCATGTTTTAGTTACATGGATTCCCTCTCCAGATGGCTTAGAATGTTGCCAGTCAGGCATTTTCTTAGGAACTGGCAGTGTAGCTCATGGTCCTTTCCCTCCTTTCTAGGCAGGCTAGCCATTCAGGGTATCTCAGACTGCCCTTAAATGATCTCATCTATTTATTTAACTAGAAGGACTCAGCATTGCTCAGGTCCTTAACTCAAATAAGTTTTGTTTTTCTTCATTTAAATCGGTGTTTCCCAATTTTATTTGGCCACGGAACCCTTTTAAACTTGAAAGAATTTTGCGGAAACCCTAATAACAGTCTCATATATGGAGCTGAAAAAGTAGACCACAAATAAGTAAGGATAATAATAAACAAATGCTAAACAAGGTCATGAGAACACTATTTAGTTTAATTGCACATATTTAAAAACAAAAATCACATAATATTAATTTTTTTTTTAAATCATAAAATGTTGTTGTAATGGAATTTTCTCATGGAACCCTTATTTTCACTTCATGGAACCCCGGGATTCTGCGGAACACCATTTGAGAAGCACTGATTTAAATCATTGTTCTGGGGTGGAACTGGGAATGATGGGTTCAGGCTGCCACAGGGAGAGAGGACAACCCTAGCCCTCTGTCACCATAGCAGCTTGAAGCCAGGTAAGAAGCCTCTGTCCATGGCTGCTGCAGCTGGCACAGCTGAGGGAGGGGTTCATGTTCCCCAGCTGGGAGACAGACAGACACACAGCCAACTCTCTGAAATATATTAGATAGCTGCATCTTTTTCCACTCCTGCCCCCTTCTGTCCCAATGGGGTTATTGCTGTCCCGGTCCCCTTCTCTGGTCCCTTGCTACTCCCTGTGGTCAGTATACCGTATAAATGTCCCTGCTAGCAGACCTCTCCCTTTCCATTTCATGAGATACAATCAAATTCCAGGCATATCCCATTGTCCTGGCACAACCAGACCCTTACTTTGCTTTAAGTTATAAGAGGAACCTGCATACCAAATTTGGTGGTGCTAGCTCTTACCGTTTAGGAGGAGTTCTTGAACAAATAAACTCCTAGACAGACATATGTCTGTTTTTAAAATATAAAGTAGATAAGTTTTTTTTACAGAGCTAAATAGATACAAATTTTCAAAAATCTCAACAGATGTGTTGGTGTTATGTGGTTGATCATTTTGCCTCACTTACTCTCCTGGCAAGAGAACGGCAAAATTGTGACACAGGCAGCACCGTCTCAATGTTATGCAGGGGAGAAGGGCCATTGAAAAGCATTTTTCGATTGCAGCAGCTTCTGAGGCTATTTAAAATGCTTTGCAAAGGTACTTTTCCCCTACATAACCCAGAAAGAACTGCTTATGTCACTGCTTTGCCGTTCTTTTGCCAGGAGAGTAAAGTAAAGCAAACCTCTGTTGATTTTGCTACCCAGAGTTGTGCTGCTGTGCTCTTGGTGGCAAGTTGAACATTGGTTACTTTATTGTAGAGTAAGCAGCCAGTTACTGACTGATGTATTGTAGATGTTTTCCCCCTGTTTATGCATGTGAGCTGTGCTGGATGCTAAGAAGATTGATACAATAACTCCTCTGATTGAAGACTGATGACATATTGATAATCTCAGCATGGATGGGGGTTTTTAAAAAGGTGAGTGAAAGTTATGGGATTAAAAAATCATTCTGAAGTGTAAAGTAACACATCACTACCATCAGTTATAATTAAAGTTCTGTTGACAGTCATGGAGACTGTCTGCTACCCCAGCACCAGGTAAGAAGTAATGTCGGGATAGGCTGCATAGTTGTGAATTTGCCACTCAGATGAAAGGGAATGATGTTGGTGTACTACACTTTTTGTGAACTTCTGTTTTGAACAGCTTTTCAGAAAACTACATTGGATGCTGTCGGTTTCCCTGCAATTTTTGGAGAGGGTTGGAAGAATTGTAACTTCTGTGCCTTAATTACAGTGATTTGGATTCCCCAGCTTTTTTCTGCAGTGGTGAATTTTAATACTTCCTCTTCTCACACCTTAATGAATGCATTTCTCAATTCCTCCAAATCTGCCTGGTACTGGTTTTATTCTCTTTCCTTTCCCTTTCTATGCTGTTTTATTAATTGACAGGTTGGATCACAGAGATCTCCACGAGACTAATCCAAGACCTCTTTTTAGTTATGCTAATGTTGCATTTTGGTATTCAACCTAATATGAACTCAGGTGAAACCAGAATTAGCCAGTCTGATATAGGGATGTGACTGGGTAACCAGTTACCTAACTGCGTGATGCTTACTGGGTAACAGTTAACTGGTTCCCTGGGAGTAGTCCACTACTTGCAACCTGCTGTGGGCAGAGGGTTGCCCCACCAAGCATCCACGTGGGGCTGCCAGCCAGCAGCCCACCCCATGTGGTTGGACTGGGAGCTGGGAGCCAGCCCTGCCCAGGTTTGGGAGTAGGAGCCCTCTGGGATCCCACTTAGTCGGTTAACTGGTTAAATGTTAGGTTAGCCGAATGATTAACCGGTTAGCTGTTTAATTGGGATTTTACATCCCTAATCTGATACTGAAAGCTGGGAGTGAAGTGAGGCAATGCCATTTACTTATGGTAACAAATTTACTGTTTCTTTGAACCTTGGTTTAGTAGAAGAATTGTTTCCACACACAGTTTCTTATCATTGTCTGTTTCTCTTTTATTTATAGCACATAAGTTTTTAAGCAACTCTGAGAAGTCCAGAATACATCCAAGCCAAGGAGATGGTATGAGGAAACCTGCCAAAAGTCTACGCAAGTTACCCTATTCTGGAGTTTGTATCCAAATCACCAACAATCCACGAGTATTTAGACCTGAGCAACAGCGTGATTGTAAGGGATGTGCCAACAGCTCTGTGATCTAAACTAAATTCCTGCTTTATCAATGAGTGAATGCATTACTTTTTTGAGCTGTTGATATATAAGTATGAGGCGTTGGTTACTATGTGAAGCCTAAAACATGAGCTGTGAGATTAACTGAATCCATCTTAGCCAGCAACCGGTATGTTTTTAAAGCCTTTTGAAGCACAATACAAGATTTTAAAATCGTCTTTTGATCAAAGAATCAAGATAATATATTGGAAATGAAGGAGAGCGTTGATCTGGGCATGTTCCTTGCTCCTTCTCTCCAGCCTTTTAACCCATTTAATCTCTTTTCAACCTGAGTGGTTAATGCCAGGTATTGCAGATAATGTGGAAAGAGACTAAAATAAGTGTGTGACTTGCACGTTCCTTACACTGTACTTGTCTAGCTCTGGATTTCATGGAGAGGGGTGCAAACTGTGTGGGAGAACTGGATGCTTGTGACTTTGTATTACAGAACTAAAAAGAGCTCCTTGTCACACACTGAAAAGGCATTTTAGGGATTGTAACGAGCCCGGGAGTCAAAAAATGACCCAGGAAGTACTCCCATTTCCTATGTATCCAACAACTAACACAGTGAAATCTGATTTACTCCATAATGGCAACAAGTTTGTTTCGGTCCTGATGCAACTTCTGCTACATAATCATGGGCTATGTGGTCTGAAAGCTTGTTTCTCTCACCAATAGAAGTTGTCCGAATGAAAGACACTACCTCACCCATGTTGATAAGCCAAGAGAGAGGCATTTTCCCAAACAAGCTCATTTCTACCAACCAAGCTTTACCATGCTAAACCATCCAGCACAGCAAGTCTAGCGGTATCTGTTTTGGGAGGCTGGCAAGCTCTTAAGAAAGATGTGTAGGATCCGAATCTGAACTCAGAAGAGAGCAGCACCAATGACTTTGGGTTGACTATTAACTTGATGAGTGTGTTTTGCTTGTTTGTATGCAGTCCTTTGAATGTTTGCATCACATTATTCAAGGCTTTGTGTGCTCCATAAGAAGCTTGACATAAAGCAAGGTGCCTGTGTGACCCAGTGCAGTGGTCTGGACCTCCGATGTCAGCTTCACATAAGTGTAAAATGCAGATTCATATTTAGTGTAAAAATAGAGATTCATATTTAACTAGGTACAAAAGTGAATATGCTCACAGCAGGTTTCCCTTTGCTTTTGAATATTAAATGCCATTTATTTTATGCTGGTCTTTCATTTCATTGTCTGTATGATGCAGAATGTGTGGTGAGGTTTTTGGTTTTGTTTTTTTGGAAAATGCCTGGCTATTCTTTATGAACTGGCAGGGGGAAGCAAGAGGTTATTGCAATTGTAGGCATCTAGGGAGGTGTTGGGGGAGGCTTGGGTTTGTAAGATAAGCATACTAACTCTATGCAAAAATGAGGATTATCTGTGAAATATATTACTGTTGATACTGAAATGTGCATCATTAACATATTAGGTTAACACTCGTTGGGATGAATTAAGGGACAGTTCACTCCTAAGATATTTTTCCAGGTTGTCTGCATACTCAAGCCGATGACTTTCCAATGCCTTGTACTTGGTTCACATTTGTAAAGTTTTGGACAACCACCTTAAGAGCACGAGACATTCTTTTTTAAGTGTCAGTCTAGATTTGGCTCACTACGGGTATGTCTACACTGCATTCCTCTTTCAAGAGAGGAATGCAAATGTAGACATCTGAAATTGCAAATGAAGTGGGGATTTTGGTTTAAGGATTATTTTGGAAGAAAGGTTTTCTCTCGAAATAACGGCATTAACAGCGTTTTTTATTTCAAAATAAGGTATTTCGAAATAGCAGCTGTCTGCAATTATGCAAATGAAGTGCAGGATATTTAAATCCCCACTTCATTTGCAATTTTGGATGTCTACATTTGCATTCCTCTCTCGAAAGAGGAATGCAGTGTACACATACCCTACTTCTGCAGCAAAGGGAAAATTCTGTAGCTGTGAAAGGAGGAAGTACAGTCTTGACTACAAATAGCGGGCTTCTGAGATCTTGTTTAGAGAATTCTTGTACAGTTTAGTCCTGCCAGTAACACTTCTCATGTGAATATGTTCATTGGGTTGGATTTTGGAATGTATAGCTGTGGTCTGAGTGCTACTATTTCCATTCTTGTCCAGGTTTATCCAGAGAGCTGGTTGCCCCAGTTTGGGATTAGTTGTGATCTGTTGGTTCCTGCATTCTCTCATGTCCTGTCATGCAAGTTTAACATGCTTCTTTTCATGTTCTTTTGTTGTAAGTCTTCAATTCCTGAGGGATCCTGCAGCATTTCATATTGTCTACACATACTTCAATTTGATTCCAGAGTTATTCCCAAATGGAGCTTGTTTCTTACACCTGGAATTTTGCCTGACTTTATCTCACTGGTCTGATGAGGAACTGGAAGTTTTGAATAGCGAACAGGGTATTTGGTGTCTATTTTAGAAGAGAGGAAGGATGGTCCAGTGTTCAGAATGCTATCTAGGTTCAGTTCTGTGCTCTGCTGCAGTCTGACCTTGGGCACGTTACTCAGATTCTCTGTGTCTCTATTCCTCACCTCTACAGTGGGGATAATAGCCCTGCCCTACCTCACAAGGGTGTTGTGAGGCTAATTACATTAAAGATCATGAGATGCTCAGAAAATGTGGTAATGGGGGCCAGATAATTTCTTAATATTACACTTCCCTTTCCCCCACAGACATCTTGGAAGCTATTGAAGATACGTTGCTACATAAGGACTTGGAAGAGTATTTGACACAATATGTGGTAGGGTTGAGCAGTTTTGGCACCCAATACTGTGTATGGCAAATGCTGCTGCTTATTTATATGTCTCTTATTTATCCTTTTCAAAATTCAGTTTTAAAAAAATTTGTAAATGCCATTAAACCCAAGGACTGCTGTCTTATACTGGTGGTGATAATACCTCACTCTCATGTAGAACTTTCCATCCTCGGAGCTCAGTGTAAAGTCTGCATCAGTGCCCTTCTGCTGTCTGCCACGGGAGCTTTGCCTGATCAAGTTCCTGACTTCTAAACACAGAAGAATCTGTACTAGAGAATAGGGATGTGAATGGGTAAGTGGTTAACCAGTTACCCAGTAAGCATCACCCTGTTACCCAGGGGCTGCCCCACAGGGCTGCTGGCTCCCAGCCTGAATGGGCTCACAGGCTCACAACCCTGAGTGGGGTCAGAAGAAGCTGGGCTAGAGCAGCCCCTGCCTGTGGCATGGGGGGTCACTCTGGCCTGGCCATGATGGGCCGGCGGAGGAGTGGTACGCCTGCCCAGCGGGCTGGAATGGCTCCCCTGCCTGGCCCTGTTTAAATGTTAAGTTTAACCGGCTAACAAGTTATATGGATTTCATATCCCTACTAGAGAGAAGGCAGCAAATACCACATGCCATAGACTGCAAAGTGATGGCCATTATGTGGTTAGGCTATGGTCTCTAAGGGTGCATCTACACAGCACCCTTACCTCTAAATAAGCTATGCGATTTGCTCTACTGAGATTATTTCCATGTTATTTGGAAATAAGTCACTATTCCAAAACGTCCCTTATCCTTCACGCAATGAGGTTTACAAGGACGTCAGAATAGCGAGCCTGTTATATTTCGATATACCGGGCTTGCTTTTAAGACACGGGCTAGCTATTTTGGTATACCGGAGATATCCCGAAATAGCTTTGCTGTGTAGACGTAGACAGAGAAAATATAGCTCCAGCCTGCCCTTTTCAGTATCTCTTAGGTGAGAGCTGTTTAATAGTCTGCACTTGCAACTGTTATTGGTTTCTCAGAAGAGTGTTCCTAGTTAAGAGTCGGCACCAGTGTCCCAGAGAGAGGCTTCCATTAGTTTGGTGAGATTCAGCAATCAACATTATATCCCTTTTTTATGTATATGTACATCATGCTCTGCAGTAGATGCCATGTGCCAATCAAATGATTGTTTCCTGGCTTGGAAGAGCTTTATCTAAAGGCATATTGGCTATAATACAGAACTGTACAAAATAAGTAGGATGGAGCACTTCAGGACAATTTCACACGACTGGAAAAACTACATTTGCTAACTCTGCTTCCACTAAGAAACCTCTAAGGAGCTTCCAGCCTTCAGATCATTAATCCATCTGTTTTTTTTTCTTGATTAGAGATTGGGTTGGGGAGGGAAAGTGATATAAGTGAGGAAGAGAGGTGTAGTTATGGACATATACTGCTCCACAGGTGAGTCTCTCTGGCCATATGAGGAAATATACAAAAACTCATGCCGCTACATCCTGTCATCAAACAAATCTGGCTCTGAAGCATCTGAAATGTCAGTAGCTACTTACAGAGCACATGCAACATTTATTTCTTCTGTTGCACTTCAAAAAATATCATGAGACTGAAGCAAAACCAGTTTGAAGGAGTCTCTAGGAAGCAAAGATGCGCCAAAGGCTTTGGCAGAACATGTTTATATGGGAGTGAAAAAACAACAGAAGTGAGTGCAGGACGTTGCTGTGAGTTGACTCTGCCAATAAAAACACTCAGGGAGCCAGTTCTGGAGCAGTATGCCTCCAGTCATATTCATTGCAAACATTAAAATATTTGTAAGTTGCTATAGCTGTTTCTGTCTGTTCATAAGTATTACAGGTCAAGTTGATAGAGACATAGGGCCTGTCTTGGATAGCTGGCAATCTGGGAGAGTGCCTGCCGGTCAGGATTTGGTGGCCTGTCATTGACTTCAGGGGTCCAAGTTCAATCCTTGCCAAAATATGGCCACTTCCTAGTGAGAAAATGATAACCTGCCAGTTGACTACCAGTGTGGATAATGCTAGGCAATTGCTGATGATTGGCACTAGGAAGGGGGTAGCCACTGACTGGTGATAGCTAACTTCCTGGGATTCATTAAATGAATTAGTGCATTATAGTAAGCAGCTGTATGTGTATTCATTTTTTTATTCTTCAGATCTTGAAATATTCTGTTTTTAGCCAGAACATAAGCAACTTTGAGTCCTTGAAAAACAGGTAA